ACTCTTCTCCAGCACCACAGCTCAAAGGCGTCAATTCTCCTTCTATCCTCCTTAGTCACTGTCCAACTCTCTGATGCATAACAAGTGATTGCAAAAACCGTGGCCTGTATCAGGCGGTCCTTAGTCTCCAGAGAGACACTGGATGGTGTGTAACAATAGCACTTAAAACCAATAATCCTCGGGGCTTTATTATTTTTAAAAATTTTATTTATCAATTGTTGCATAGTTTCTACACTTCTGATTTTAAGATTTTTCTTATCCACTGTATATTAATAATAAAAAAATTACTGACTAAATCCTGTCAGTGGCCCTTTTCACCCAAAGTTGCTAATCTTTTTTGGTTATTGCTCGAGGGTAGGATTACCAAGTTAATGGAGGGCAGCAGAACACATTTTGACAGACTGATCTCAGTAAAATCGGGATGGCAGAATTTAGTTAATGCACACAGTTAAGGGTAGACAATAGTTGAACTTCATTGTAACCAGTTTACTTACTTCCAACCATTTGCTTCTTTCGGAATTAGAATGGTATCCCTACAGGTATAGAATAAATGCTGAGAATAAACTTGATGTGTCAATTTATTTGGATTTCAATGATATTTTTTTAATAGAATGTGTGTAGGAAAACCCTTAACAGACCATGAATGACTCAGGTCTTACAGAAGGCTTGCGAGTTTTTCTTATCTAGATTAATATAATTTGTTGAACAAAGACATTTTTGTTATGATGAGGTTCATGATCAGAATTCATTTAGTTATTCTGTGATGAAAATTGCAAATGTGTTGCAGATGATATTGGATAAAGTTCAGGAGAGGCAGTTAAAATAACATTTATACACAGCAAAAGTAGAAACTTGTGCCCACTTATGGAATGCAGATGTATTTCATAGGTCTTTTTTTAAAAGAATTGATTTATTGTGAATCATTTTAAGTTGATATAATTTATATGGACAATATTTTTTTTAACCCCTGGAAAAAAAATTTAAACTGATGAATGAGCCCACACAATTACATATATATATATATAAATAAATTTGGCATAAAAATAATCTTTCACAGAGCTCTGGTGGCCTAGTGGCAAGAAGTTGCACTGTAATCCCAGAGATACATGGTTTGAATCCACCAGATGTTCTGCTGGAAAAGTAGGGTCAATCTCCTCCTTTACCAGTCAAATCCGATTTGACGGTCCACAGGCA